ACACACACACACACACACACAAACAGAGGGGATTATGGGTAATGCTGCAATGATCTGTTTGGTATTTCAGACAAACACTTCAGAGACATGTTCTGTATATATCTGAAACCTATAATATATTGATGAAAAACAGTATCATAGGGGACCTTTAAATAAAATGTATTATTATCATTATCAAATCAATAACATGACTTATCTGTGTTTGTGTTTCGTCAGATAACCGCTGCATGGACAGGCACTTCCTCCCCACTCGGGCCAAGCAGCTCGTGGCCCTCGCTAGTTTCCCCGGAGCCGGCAACACGTGGGCGCGTCACCTCATAGAGCTCGCCACCGGCTTCTACACCGGCAGCTACTACTTTGATGGCTCCCTTTACAACAAAGGTAGACATTTATCCAACACAAACAATTCAATAAAAAAATAAACCTTTGTTGGTTCAATATATTTACTGTGGGGTTGCCATTCTTTCCCAGGATTCAAAGGGGAGCGGGACCACTGGCGGAGTGGGAGGACGATCTGCATTAAGACTCATGAGAGCGGCAAGAAGGAGATCGAGTCCTTTGACTCCAGCGTCGTCATGATCCGAAACCCCTACAAAGCCCTCATGGCTGAATTCAACAGAAAGTATGGGGGCCACATTGGATTCGCTTCCCAGGCCCATTGGAAAGGGAAAGGTGAGCTGCTCGAGCCACAACCTTGTACAGTAGTTGTTCCAATGCATCCTGAACACCTATGACACTAAAGAAGTTTCATTAACTACAGTGCAATATTTTTGATGTTCAGGCTGACTTTAATATAGGACACATCTTGTTGATGTTGATGCTGTTTTTAAGCATTTTCAATCTCAATCACTCAGAAAATAAGAAAAGCTTCCAAAGACAGACTAGATCAAATAACATTTATAAATAATGTGCTACCAATGTCTTCACTGGTAGTTTATTAAAAGAAAGAAGTGGGTGAATGATCCATGCTGACGTAGATTGGTAAGGAAATAGAGGAAATGTTTTAGTGGTTTTGACCCTTTAAACCAACATGGCTGAGCCATGAAGTTTTGAAAATGTTCAAAACCATTTCCAACCTTATATCAAACATAATCTGACGTTTTATAAAAAACAAGAAATGAAACCAACCAACCATGATATCAGTCACACTTATTAAATCATGAGCTACATTATTTCACCAAGTCAACCAGCTTCTTCCTCAGACTCTCGTGCTACTTTAATTATTAAGTGTGATGAGACGTGGTGTGTAGAAAACACAGAAAACTGCCAGCCTGGTTTTGTCCAAAGGTACAAAATCATGATTTGAAAAACTCACAAATGAACACACAAACACAGCAAAATGGCAAATTGCTGTTGTTTTGCTCGTTTGTTGATCCTGTTCAGATTAATTGCATTAAATATATATGCTAAGTGGTGCTATGCTGTTTCAAGTATTTGAGAGGCTCTGCTGCCTGCTTCATATTTAATAGACGGATGTGTAAGTGGTATAAAACTTCTTATTTATATAAAATATCTATATGTTTCCATTATTGAACAGAATATGTTTTTAAGGCTTGTGCATTTATCTTTAATGTTACTGCATGTAAGGGTATCTTGATCTAATACTCCAGAAGTGTTGTTGTGTTTTTTTTATAGTTAGCCACTTGATTTAAAATCATGTTGACATTAATAAATTATATTAAGAAGATGCACTGTTACAGAATGAATTCACGTCCAGCATGTAACCCATCATTGTGCAACCACTTAATTACGTGTCAGCACAATCTAGTGAAGTTAAATTCCTCTCAGGTCTACTTTTTAATGGTATCATTAAGGAAATGAACCTCTTGGTCGAGTACATCTTATCCATAAAACGTTATGTCCTTTTGCTAGAAGATTTATTTATATTTCATGCATAATGTGCGTTCCTCGCTCCTTCGCCAGCTTTAGTGGTGTCTCAGTAACCGTGACAACGAGTTTTGTCTAGTCCGCTAACCGTCTCTCTGACGTTCTGCAAGGTTTTAATCGATTTTCTCGAGGCAGGAGATTTGCCGACCCAGCAGTTGTCTCTCTTTGTTGAAACATCAGCACATTTGGCCTGCCATTCCCAATGAGTGTTTATTCCTGCTGTTGGTGGGGAAAATGATGCGGTGACATCATTAAAGAGAAAAGCTTCTTGACAGCTGCCACTTCCAATACAGAGCGAGGATCCCGTCTGAGAGTCAGCGTGACTTTGAGTCTGGGGCGTCACATCTGGTGCGCTCACCTCTGCAAGGGGAGGCCGGGGGCTTCGGGTGATGTTACCGACACTGATGCCTCCTTTTCTTGCTCAATAAGTCCTCTCAGGGGCGAGTGCAACTTGTTTTGGATGTCATTTTACAAAGCACACTCTGTTCTTTTCCAGTATTATCTGATGGCTTTACTTAAAGGCTCTTACATAAATCCCTTTATTTGGGTTTTAAAAGTCAAACCCCTGCTAATAAGAACATAAGTATCTTAACTTAATCTGATATGTTCAGTCAAACATTAGCAGAACAGGCTGTTCAGGGGGAAGTTAATGGTGTTGGTTCCTTCTTATTTGAAGCCCCTGATGCTTTTACAAGACTGATGGAGAGGAGAACAAACTCATTGTGGTCAAAAACGCGGTTCCTCAGAGTTTCTGCACAGCTACTTGTGTTTTTAGATGCATTCATAATATTCTGTCCACTCTCGTTGGTTCCTGACACAGCACTGCCAGCTCAGCGGGCTGTAAACTTTAACGACAACCTCTCCCACAGTAAGATGTGTGCTAATGCAGCTCCTGCCAGCAGCCGGCTTTTTTTTTATGGGCCAGTAGATTATCAATGAGTAAAAGTTGCAAGCCAAGGGTTTCTGCTAAAGTGCCACTGCAGTTTGATTGACAACCAAGAAAGTCCACTTCCCTGTCCAAAGATTATAGAAATCACTTAGTTTTGTTCGGCGAATTGGTCCACTTCCCAAGAAAAATGACATCAGCTTTACGACTCTAACTTCCCCTTCATCCAGTACCCAATCTTTTTTTTAAAGGTCTTTTTGTTATTTTTGCATTTATTTGATTGCTCTGCTTTGAGATTGGGGCCTGTATTTATCAAACTGTTTCTGCTCTGAGCATGCATTTGATTAATTGTGTGTCCACTAAAGAGCTATTCCTTAACATTACTCATTGACTTCAATGTAATTAGGAGGAAGTTGATTAATTTGCTCCATTGTTACCAAAGACAGTTTTACTTGCTCTGTGTTTTTTCCTTCTTCAATACTTCTGTTCGCACTTTTGTAGTACATTGACAATCACTTTTCCTCTCGTTGATTCATTTCTGTCCTCTCATTTGTCCCGCAGAGTGGCCCGAGTTTGTGAAGAACTATTCCCCTTGGTGGGCGTCCCACACGTTGGACTGGCTGAACTACGGGAAGGTGGTCCACGTGGTCCACTTTGAGAACGTGAAGAGGGACCTGTTCTCCCATCTCAAAGGGATGGTCCAGTTTCTGGGTCTGAAGGTTTCTGAGGAGCGCCTTCTCTGCGTCGAGGGCCAGAAGGACGGGAACTTCAAGCGGTCCGGCCTGCGAAAGCTTGAGTATGACCCGTATACTCCTGAAATGCGAGCGAGCATCAATGAACTGGTCCGGAAAGTCGACGCTGCCTTGAGGAAGAGGAACATGCCCGGAGTTCCAGACGAATATATGCCAAGATGATATACGTGAACCCCTCATTTAATTCCCCCCCCCTTCCTTTAATCGGACTGTTAATTGGACAATCTGCACCACATTTTTAGGATAACATGACTGAAATAGTTTGTTTCAATAATTTTGTAGGTAAACATAGGTCAAAGCTGTAGTCTCTTTACTCTTACTATTTTAATATTAAGGTTCTTTCATTTTCTGTTGAACCTCAGCAGCTTTATGCATTAATAGAAGAGGCAGTTGTCCCTAGGAAGGTTTCTTTTTCTCTTTGTCTAAATGAAACGCCCTTCCTATCCTGCTCTATGCACATGTGCTGTGTAGGCATGTGAAAATGCCTTAACTCAAAGGAGGTACAATAGCTGTGACCACAGAGAGGCTCATCTGACGGCACTGGCTGATTCGTTGCCAGTCAGAAAAACATGTGACCGAAAAATCATTATACAATACTGCAAAGTTTGATGTATGAGCTTATTTTGTGCTAAAGAGAAATATGAGAATGGAAAACTTTAAATGTATGATTCTTGTGCTGCTGTCAGTTACAGAAAAATACTATTTTATACATAAACTTTAAAATGTTCCGCCCTTTTGTCAGAGGGAAAAATGCAATATGCAGGTTATAACTACTTGATCATGATACTGTGTTTCCAACTTTTTATTTAAAACAATCAGGAGTAAGAGGAATCTGTATTTTCAATGAAGAGGTTAAGAACTCCTCTTATTCAAGAAGATGACGCATCCCTCTTGAAGGCACTGACTCGAGGAGAGGATTTAACTTGACAGCATTTATTTATCTGTGGTGTGCAGTGTCCACTCGGTTGTGAAATGTTTCCTTAACACTGGACTTGATGCAGAAATCCAAAAAGCACTTTTCTGTGCAACACTCGGCCCAAAGATCACTGAGGAATTAAGCATTACACGTATATTAGATTGGAGGTTTCCTTTAGCAGTAGTGATCTTTATTGATTTATTTTATGACAGTTAATCATACTGAATGTGAAAACTGTTTTTACTTTTTGTTTTATGTCTTTGTTGTATAAAAAGCTATAACATAGTCAAAGCTGATAATACATTTACTCCTCATAATTTAAAAAGAATATCCACAAATGTGTTAAAAATTCAGCTCACATTTTATAAGCGGCACGTCTGATACTGGTACTCAATGTGCTATGCGGTATGCTTTAAAACAAACAAATATATAAATAATTAGATACACAAATATATAAATAATTAGATACACAAATATATAAATAAATAAAACACTGGTGATTGAGAACCAGGAAATATTAACTGACTTCCATTTTCAGAATGATATAGATATATTTTTATAGTGTTTGCTGACACTTTGACAAGATTTGTATTGCAACTAGCAAAACGGGAGAAGTTGTTTCTATTTTTAAAACATGCTTTAAACTTTATTGGCTCTCGCTTTCATTGACAAGCAGGCACACAGTGTCACATTTGAATGTATTTTTTATGGAATGAATGTTATGTGATAAGGCCCAATAAATGAGTAAATAAAATAGTGTGCTATAGTCCGCTGTCATTTCTGAACAACTGTTGGGAAAGGTCATTAAAATGTGTATTTGAAGATCAAATAAATGTTTTTGTTATTGGATCTCACTAGAGTTTCTCCAGGCCCTTCCATAGATAAGCCAAACAATAAGAAAAGTACATTAGTACCAAAAATAAGCAAATAGTATTGCCGTCCACGTCCCCATAGATGTGTCAAAGCTGAAAAATACGAATTTGTTGACACTAACAAATGAGTTATAATTAAAAAAGCGAACAACAGGACAAACTGTAACACAACATCTATTGCAAACATGTTGGCATGCAGGTGAACACATACAGCAGATGTGATGCAAAATGATCATTTACTTGGAGTTTATGAACATAAGTCCAATATTTAATCTACTTTTAGATAGATACTGTAGATAGATAGATAGATAGACAGATAGATACTAGATAGACAGATAGATAGATAGACAGATAGATAGATAGATAGATACTAGATAGATAGATAGACAGATAGACAGATAGATAGATAGATAGATACTAGATAGACAGATAGACAGATAGATAGATAGATAGATAGATAGATAGACTTTATTGATCCTAATTTGGGATTTGTTTGCGTTGCAGCAGCATAAAAAACGCAAGGCAATGTACATAAGAGAAACTAAGACACAAGAAATAAACAGTCCAATATATTTCAGAAATATAAATAAAATAGCATTTTAGCTCCATTTTGGTCTCCACCATAACACTATAATGGGTGCACTTGTTAATAGAAGCTCTCAAGGTAAAACTCTGCCCAGGTTATATTGTGATTCTCATGTCACCTCTGCAGTCTGGGGCTTCCCCAATAGCTTCAAGGTTTTTTTTATTTGTCATACGAACATAGCTACAGTGTAGTTATGACGATGAAAATCTTAGGTCACAGGCTCACTCCAACAGTGCAACACAACAAAACAGATAAACAGAAAAATATTGTGCAAGTAAATAGTAAATACAAAAATAGTGTAATAGTGACAATAGTGCAATAAGAGACTATATGCAATATATTAGATAAATAATTTCTAAGTAGCAGCCAGATTAATGTTGTGGATGACGTTGTTTCAAAGTTCAGTTTCCACATTAAAAAAACTCCAGGCACTCTCACTGTTGTTATTCCTTTAATTGTGTTACTGAGAATAAAATGAGATTACTTATATGCAAAGGTACAAAGCTCACAACACAAACACATTTGATCTTTTTGTGCTTCAGGTGAAAACACATTTTGACTCTGGAGGTGTTGCAATAGTTACATTTGTTGTCTTGAGCCTGATATAATCTTTCCGTCTTATTATTTCACAAGTGAACTTGATATCGACAATTGAGTAAATCAGAGAGCTGAATTTTGTTTTAGTAGCTTTATTTCAGAAAACAGAAACATTATCTACAAAGTGACATTCGCTGTACAGCTCTGAAACACAACAACACAGAAATAGAGGTCCATTAAACATATTCTTTATGTCAACTGGTAATAGCAGCTGGGTGTGTGCTTTCTCTATGACTCATTGCACGTATCTCCACAGCAGACCACTCCTCAGCACACACTGTTTGGGTCAGTCTGACACAACAACATACTTAATGCTTCAATACAAAATAGGTTTTTGGTCGGTTGAGGTTGTATGTGCATTATAAAGAAATGTAAGTATTCAATGGTCTTCTCCTTCAGCAACAGTTCCTTTCTGTCTTCAGTTTGTTTCCCAATGTGTGACCTGGTGCTTATTGGTTTAGTTCAAAGGTCAAATGATAACAACAATGTATTGCACAAACAGATGAGCAAAATACTCACATCCTGCCGGACCTCATGCCATTTACCCTCCTTCTCATTTTGATTTGTTTTCACGAATGGAAGTAAATGCCATACTTATTGCAATTCATGCATGAGCATGGAAGAGAACCTTGTTCATAAAAGGAGCCCCTCGAGTGTGAATTATAACACATTAAAACAATTTATTATCAGAAAGAAGAATCCCTCATATTTTACAATCCTTGTATTTTAGAAAGAAAAAAAAATCTCTTTGCTGCAGGAATGACTGCCGGAGAACTTTCCACAACTACTGCTCCCAAAACATTCTTTCTACTGCAAGAGATTTATGTCTAACTTGCAATTCCCAATGTTTAACTATTGGCTCAAGCTTACATTCTTCAACTACATTATGTGTTTGTGAGCCTGAAGAACAACAGCTTTCTCCATGCTACCAACAGTAAAAGAGTACAACAAATAAGATCATTAGCGCCATGAAGCTACACATAATTCATTTCATGTGTCAATCAATTGCATATCTGAGGGAAACCAGATAAATATCTTTAGATGTGAGTAGAAGCCCTCGCGTCCATGGAGCTGGACCTGGACAGGTATCGGCTGGTGGTGCGGCCCTCCTCTCCCATCGCGTTCTCCATCTTTGAGAGCACGGAGCTCTTAAACTTCCTCTTGAAGTCGTTGCCCATAAACACATACAACACCGGGTTGAGGAAGCTGTTTGCTGCCGCCATGGATGTGCCTACTTTGAGTCCGGAAGTCAAAATGCTCTTTTCAAACTGTTCATGGTTGACCTCAAGTAGGACGAACACGTGGTACGGCAGCCAGCAGACGAAGAAAGCAGCGACGAGCGCAGACATGACCTTTAAGGGCTTGTTGGATTTAGTCATCCTGTTGTTTCGAAGTTTGAGGATAATGATCGAGTAGCAGATGATGATGACAATAAACGGGACAACAAACCCTGCAAAGAAGCGGCTCACTGCAACTATCTTGTGACTGTGTTGGTGTGAGGTGTAATTATTGTAGCAAATGGTCCTTCCCAAGTGACTGTTAACATCCCGAAAGATGACAGAGGGAAGGCTCAGTGCGACAGCCAGAAGCCAGGAGATGCAAACAACACCCGTGGCTTTATTCGCAGTGCGATGGTTCTGGGCCCAGACTGGAAACACGACTGAGACGCAGCGGTCCACGCTGATGACCACCAGGAGGAAGATGCTGCTGAACATGTTGAGGGACATAACCGAGGAGGTGAATTTGCACATGAAGCGGCCGAAGACCCAGTCCTCCATTGCCATGTGGGCGATGCTGAACGGGAGGAAGGCGCAGAAGACAAAGTCGGAGATGGCGAGGCTCAGGTACCAGGTGGTGTTGACCGTCTTCGTCATCTTGAAGCCAGAAATCCAGATCACCAGAGCGTTTCCGAAGAAGCCCAGCAGAAAGATTACCACGGTGACCACGATTAAAAACACACACAAAACTTCCTTTACACACGTTGATGCGTGCTGAAAAACCTGTTTGTCTTGTGGAGTGTAATTGTAGATATCACTGTAGTTATAATCTTCATAATAATAATAATCTTGAAGATTATCCATTTTGCCGTCTGGGGAGATTTCTGTAAAAGAAAAATAGGAAAACATTTGAAATAAACAACATCTTATCAAATTTAACAACATTTTCCAACAAAGTGTTCAAATATAAAATACTATATTATCTCCTTTATAAAAACAACAATGCGTACCTGCAGCAGCACAGACCTTCTGGTGTGTCCAGTTGGGTGTCAACAGAGATGTGCTGTTTCCTTAAAACTTGTTGAAACATATTACCCTATCTGCCTCGCAATCAGCTGACCGGGTGTTTCTCAACACTTCCATCCCCTGAATACTTTCAGTACTGCATTTTGAGGTTTTAGAGGAATCTCACAAATTATATAACATTTAGAATGTGGCAGAAAAAAAAAACTAAAGCTCTTAATATGAAATAAATGATATTTAACTCCTGATTAACAGAATAAAGATTGTGTTATTAAAGGAATGAAGTCCTAAGCTGTTTTTGGTTAAAATAGTTCTGTGAGTGCTAAAGATATATGCTGTGCTATAAATAAACTTGCCTTGCCTAAAGAACATTATTTTATTGAGCACACACACTTATACTCCCATTTTGTCTGAGTCTTGTGATATGGCATATCTCCTCTCTGCCAGATGCATGTTATTGGCCATGTGTAACTGTTCAAAAAGCAATGCAGGGGAGGCATGCAAGGCCACAGTATGTATTAAACCATAAAACATTCTGAGGCAATAAACACGTTGATTTGAATGTAATGTTTCAGCCTCAGCTTTTGATGCAGATGTTTCTAGTAACACAGCTGTTTGACGGAGAACATGGCTGTAGTTTTCCTGCTTCACGGAGTCATGATCATCGAGGCAGATGCATCCAGCCAGCGAGAAGAAGAACCGCAGATGGCAAAGTTACTCGATTTTGAAATATGTTATAATAAGGGAGAAAGACAGCAACATTTTGTCAATAAATACTTGAGTCTTCAATTCATCTAAAACCACATTTTCCAGAAATGAAGAACTGATTTAAAACGTGTTGGTGAAACTGAAAAAAGCAATCTTAGGTGTTTTTGTTGTATTTACTTTCAATGTTTCTTCACTTTCTATTTCTTGGTTTGATTTGAGGTGTTTGTTTTGATTTCAGTTATTCACTGGAGACTATACGGCATCACCTTGAAAAAAGACCTAAGACATTGAAAGAGATTGAAAACACAGGAAATAAAGGAAAATATAATACATTGGAGTAATATTCAGGGTACATTAAAGATTAACAATGTCATTTATTTTTACAATTTACTTTAATCGATTCATTTTCCCATCATCCCCCCCATTTCAGCTTTATTGAAGAGATGATCATATGAATCGGAAATCTTCAAAGCAACAGTCTTAGATGAATTTTAAATAAAGCTTTTAAAAAACATAAAGCGCTCTACATGGTTTATAAATGCAGATATTTAATAAATGAGACATCCTGTATTGCACACCCATTGTGAACACACACAGGTGATTTTAATTTCTTCATCTCATCTAAAACCACATTTCTAGAAGTGTCCGAAAATGAAGAACTGACTTCAAACGTGTTGGTGAAACTGAAAATAGCAATCTTAGGTGTTTTTGTTGTATGTTTCAATGTTTCTTCACTTTCTATTTCTT